ACGTACCTAAAACTTAAACTTACTACTACTCACTACTACTACCTACCTAACCTAAACAACTACTTCTTCTTCTAACTATACTACGATACTACTACTACTAACAACTACTCTCTCTCTCTCTCTCTCTCTCTCTCTCTCTCTCTCTCTCAAGCATAGAGAACTTAGTTGCTTCAAATTAAAATCAGCGGTTTATTAACAGGGGATTGTACGCTGCAAAACCGTTTACTTTGATATACAGGTCAAAATTACCCTTAACCATCGAGATAACATGTAATTTTTCGATACATAATTTAGGAAAAGATTTCTCGGACTTTTTGCAAACTTCAATGTAACTCACACCTCCAGTCACCTAATTTCACATTCGATAAATAAAAGTGATTGTAACCCACTTGTACGGAAAATATACAATATACAGTATTAATGCAACTTATGCTTTCAGGCTCAAAATTAGATAAGCCGAAATCCTAAATCTCACACAAATCATAGAGATGAGAGATAAATTTGAAAAGAACAATGAAAAAAGAGAAAACTCAAGCAAGTTATCTTTGCAATTGAAACCAAAATCATGTATACTTTCGGGATTAAGAGAATTAAAAAAATTAGCACAAACCACCAAATTGCACCAGATAGGATTTAAGTTTCAAAAAAATGATAGAATAAGACGTTCTCTCCACTCATGCCTTCAATCTCAAACTTATGTGCTTGAAAGTAGGTACCTGCAATCATCCAAAAGTTCATGGAAAATTACGAATAAAATGCTAAGAAAATCAAAAAAAAATTGGCGAGGAGATTTTTCAAAATGCACATAAGAGATCGACTAATCAATCACGAAATTATTTCTTATTCACATACTCTTTTGTTTGTTCGGTTTTTTCTAGAATTCATGAGACCATTTCCTGGAATGTGATACAGACACATACATGTGCATGCATTCATAATTACTTATTTACTTGTGTAAGTGGGGTCTACCAGAGGGAGGAGAGAGAAACATCAAAGCAATAAATGAGTGGCATATCAATCCAGGTGCCACGTGCAAAGCAAAAAAGAACTCTTGTTGTTTGTTATGATTACGATAAGGGTCCTGTTCTATAAATCATACAAATCTGAGTAAATGAGAAACATTAATCCCATGAATGTCAGACATATTAGACATTACCTTACATCCAACAACAAGATCCAGTCACAAATTCACAATATGACAAAATGTATATTCACTACAATTATGTTATTGCATGAATATTTTTAAAAAGCACAAGCAAAAAGTACATAAACATAGCCCCCAAAGATAAGCTAAAATCTTCAAATCCCTCTATGACATTGATAAGTATTCTAATCACTTGATACCATGGCAAAAGAAGAACCGCTTATGTGATAAAGAAGAAATGCTGATGTGATATCCAAATTATAGTTATGATCATAATGATACCAGCACAAGAAAGCATAGAAGTTTTGGATAAGTTAAGAATTGGAAAAGTACAATTCTAAAGGACAGCATGGTTTTCATGCCAGCAATACATTTTTTTTAGGTACAATTCTGCATTGTCAATCGGGCCTATACATCTCTCACTCCCTCAGTCTGGGTTTCTTAAAAAAAAATTGACTGAACATTAGAAAGGCATACACATAACCAGATTTCTTCACCAATGTCTCTCTCTTTGTGCATGTGAGAAACCATGTGGAGACACCCGAAAAAGTAACATGACCATAAAAAAGCAGCAGCTTATCTCCAATCCACTGCTTTGCACCAAGTGAATAGGTCTCTCCAAATTAATAGGAACCCAAGTCTAATTTTAGTTATAATGTGCTTCTAATATAAATAATTAGCAATTGGTGTGTTTCTATCATAGATGTCGGTACTTTCTGGAGAATATTCATGAAACAGTCTTACAGAAATTTCTTGTGTGCCTGGTATTGGGACGCTGACTCAGAGGCACATTAACAACTCAGAGCCATAATTCAAGACAAACATTCACACGAGCGACGACTGTTACAGGTTTTTTTTCTGTCAAGGACCAGCATGAGTCCTCATAAGCAACCAATGTATAAGTTTGGACCTCATCTATGGGAATGATTGACATTCTTCATGTTAGTTTACAACGAGTAATAATGCAATGGCATGCATGCAAATTTACAACTATGAACTGATTCAAAAAATTCTATATTTCATGAACAAATAAGTCTTTCATAATCCAAATTGTTGTTAATTCCCTTGAGAGATAAAATAACTTGTAAACTGCTGAACCGATGTGCCACTCAAGCAAAACTGTCTAACCAGCCTAGGACATCTCAAGGTCACTTCTAAACGGTGGGGAAATAACATTAAAGTCGAAACAATCAGCTTTCACATGAGACACTTAAAGATAAACAGTTAACCATTTAAGCAACAACAAGAGAAAACCCTCGGTTGTATTTCACAAAATCATGTTATAGGCATGACTTGCATCGCCAGATGTTAGCTCAATGGCTTGGCCTCTAAGACAGCTTAAGTCAAGTACAGCAAAGTAGATGGAATATCCTGCTACCCCACCTATAAAAGAACTCTCTATTCACAGTGTAGCATGCATGAAGCAAAAGTCATGAAAATCACTCAATATTTCAAATGACAAATTTCTATCTGTTTCCCCTTTTGATAGGTAAGCAGATCTCAAACTTCAAACTCACAACCACTATCTAGCAAACAAAAACTAATTAATCAAAGAACCCAAAGATTATAATGATAGATAGTGCAACAATTACATGAGATTCACGTCAGTTATATGTTCAAGATTCGAATCAACACCAAGAACAAGACATTATTGAGTCTCCAAAATCTTTCCTATTCATAAAGTCATAATAAAATTTAATCTATCTATCTAAGTAAAGTAGCAACAAAAATCAAATTTACCTGCTTAAAAGATATGATCCTACACGAACCGACCCATTGTAGCAAGACCACAGTAAGAAAAACAGCAGCAAGTCTAAAAAAGTTAAGAAATTCACAACACACAAAACAAGAAAAAGAGAAAAAACTATCAAAATCAAAATGAACAACAATCACACATCATGTAACTTGCAAAAAGTAAAGAACCAATCATAACACGTAACCAAACTGTGTGATCTAAAAAATGAACAACAATAAGGCATAATTTAACTTGTAAAAGCTTAAAAAACAACCAAAACTTGTGGCCAAATTGTATGATATTGACCGAATTTAACCTTATGCAAATCCATCAAACTCTAGAAGTTAAAAGGATACTAAAAAGGCAGCGCTCCCACCAATCAAGCATGTAGAGCCCAAAGGTGACATTATAGAGGTAAATCCACCTATTGACCCAGTTAATGATTCCACTTTTCTTTGCCGTCTTCTTGATCTTCGTAGAATTCACAGAAGATTGATCCATTGAGTTGATCTATAAAAACAAAACCCACAATGACGAACTTCTAATAAATATATATGGTAAATAAAGAGATCTAGTTTCCCGTTAGAGGTAGAATAACCTATTTCATGGTTCAGGGAAAAATTTATGGAAAATAAACCCATCTCAGCCTAAGGATACAACTAAAAGGCGACAACAACTTGAATGAAAAGTAATCTAGAAAATAAGAATCTAACACTTCAACTTAGAAAGAGAGAGAGAGCATGAAAATGTATCCATTTTGGTCTACGGATTTTATAGAAAAAAAACCCTTGATAAATAAGCTAGTGAGAGAGGATCTCACATTTCTAGTTATAGATAGATAGAGAGAGAGATCTATTTCATAATTCAGGGAAAATTCGATGAAGGATTCAAGTTTTTTTTTAAGCAATGAAAGATTCAATTGCTCTAATTCAAAGATTAAAGTAGAAAACCTGATGATAAATAAGTGATAAATAAAGCTCATGAGCAAAAAGGCAGGGTTTTAGATCAGAGAGAGAGATGCTTCATAATATAGGGAAAAAATTAAACTAGTAAAACGATAGTGAGAGAGAGCAAGAGACTAATGATTTAGGGCAAAATGCAAAACAGAAAAAAGATAGAGAGAGAGAGAGAGATACTTCATGGTTTAGGGTAAAAACCGTGCCAAAAGAAGATCAACAGATTGATGGATAATATATTTAACTCAGACAAAGATTGTGCAAATGAAACAGAGAAAAACTATTAAAAAAAAATCGAAATGCCAGAAAGGTAGAAGTAAGGAATATATAAATACAATCAAGGCTATGTAGAAAAGGAACACTGAAATGTCTCAGAGAGTAGGGTAAAACAAATTTACCTGAAAATGGATTTGTTGAAATGATAAAGGAGACGATTTCCAAATACCATAAAATGTGACCTCTCTGGCCTTTTAGGGTGCTGCGTTTGATAACTTTATCTGTAGTTTCTCCAGTAAAACCACAGTCATTGATTTTCCTAGAATAAGGGAGGAAAGTGAAATTTGGTAGCCTGAAAGCTAGGAAACCTATTTGATAAATTGTGGTGTTGTTATTTTCACCTATTTGGTATTGTGAAAGCTTGAAACTGTCTGTCTTGACCATTCATTATGTATTCCATTGATTTGAGGTGTAAAATGTATATTTTGAATATGATTTCTTAGTACAAACCATTTAATGCATATCTTACAAAATGTAATGGTTGAGATTGAAGTTTGTTCTTATATCATGCAATGCTCACTGAACATTTAGATGCTAAAAAACAAGCAGAGCATATCTACAACTAGAAACACAATTCTCACACCCAATTCAACTTACATCGTGTTCTCACTGTCTCTGAGATGAAATGAGAGTCGATGGACTCATAAGAGGTAGCAAAACTGCTGATGAGAGAGGCAGAGATCACACTAATAATCTCAGGAAGCTCAATAGAGAATTACATAAATGTTACATGCCAAAATTCAAAATTTAACAGAGAAGGAGTAGAAGCCCTTGTATACGATAGAAACAGAACTTAACTTTGAAATTAGCTAGAAATTGTACACAAATTACCTGACTGAATTACTCGAGAAAATTCCTTAATCCAACATAGATCATTGAGAATAAACACGACCAAAAACCAAGAATAAACTCAACCAAAACATAGACTATATCCAAAGAATGAAATTAACAGAATAATTTCTCCCAGAAAACCAAAAGAAAGCAGAACAAATTCCAATCCAACAAGTCATTTGAAGCACAGAGTCGAGCCATAGCAATTCTACATAATAATAGCAATAATTAGCAACAAAATTGTGGAACAAAATAATTGGCTAATCTCAACTTATCTCGGGCAGAAATTTCAGAAAAATGAGCATAAGAAAAAATGAGCACTAATGATGAATAATTCATGGATAAACTGAAAAAAAAAATTGATGGAAGAACCCTAAAATGTGAAAAATTACAGAAATAGCAAAGAAATCAAACAATAAACAGATGAATAACATATGAATAACATATGAATAAAACCCTAGAAATAGCAAAGAAATAAGTGGATAAAAAACAACAAGGATTTCTGCAGCACACACAATCTTAATTCAGTTACCAGAATTATGCAATAAAACACAAATAAACATCATCACAGTTCAGATCATCGAAGTCGCCAACTATTAGCAGATCATGAAAAACCAGAATCAGATAACACCAGAACATGATCAAATTCCACCTCAAAAATTTATTAGAAATAGAATCGCACCTCAAAAAAGGCAAATAATCCGCGAATGATCACAGCGCAGTATGAACATACCATTAATGGTAAAAATACCAAAAATGCAGAAAATTTGAAGAAAAAAATAAGAAACTAAATGAGTAGAATAAACCAACTTGACCCTGTTAAAATTGGGTATTGATATTCCGTGTAATCTCTTTAACAAGAAAACCTATTAGATTTGGGGATTCTCTATAGCAAAACCAACATTAACAGCAAAACCTTGTTAAAGTTCTAGAGAGAGAATGAAACCTCCAACCAAAATGTCGAGAGACAGACCAAAATAATCTCAAAGTTCTAGAGAGAGACTCAGACCCATCTGAAGATTCAATAAGGGCTGAGCTCTCAAATATTTTAGAGAGAGAAACAAAAGACCAAGACCAAGACAAGAGGCTGAGCTCTCAGAAATTATAGAGAGAGAAACAAAAGACCAAGACCAAAAGAGAGAATGATGGATCAGCGCACCTGGTATAGAAGAATCAGAGGGCTCGCTTTTGAGTTCCAATTTTCCCCAGAAATTTCACCTGAAAAAGGATAAATTTTAAAGCCCTGTATCTATGCTCTCGCGGGAACAGAAAGACCCAATTTCACTCCCTCAGGCAAGTCAGCAAGTGACATGCACGTTCGAAATTAAAATATGACCTGCACAGGGTGCTCCTGCAGGAGCATACGATACACTTGTTTCCTGCTTGCTATCATTTTATCCTACTCTCAAACATGAAAGGAAATAATACAATTTTGAGACTTTAAACATTGAAATGTAAGTAATAAAATTATTTATTTGTGATGTAAGAAGGTCATAATCATCATATTCACTATTGGATGTGGTTGGGGAAACTTTGGTGCCGTTAGAAACGAATAAGAGTTAGTCAGGAAGTAATCTCTTGATAGAGCAGAAGGGCATATCATTATTAACCGTTTTAAAATAGTTAGAAAAAAGCTCCGATGGTATGTGTCTCGACACAAAGTACATAATAGAATTTTTCAAACATTGTAATAGTTTTATATCATATTAAAAGTTGAGAATAATTGTAACCTCTATATACTCAAACTGAATAGTTGCTCACTTTCGGTATTTCAGTGGTTTTATATATTTTGGTATTTCAATAGCTCTTCAGGATTACTTCAATTCGGCCTTCCCCATACCTATAAGTTGATTCAAAATACCAAAGTTGAGAACCGACGGATTTGAGTTAGGAATTGTTTTGCTAAGTACCCAGGTCTCACCCAAACCCTCTTTTCTGATATCTTTTTGCACTTGCAGTGGTAGCAATAACAATTGACTGGGCTTTTTACTGTTGCTTGAAATACTGATTCAAGTACAGTAAGCGCATATTCAAAAAAAAAAATCAATGAAAAAATTAGACAAAATAGTTATGATGATGATGAGTTATGCATAATTTTGGAATTTTTTAATCAAGTTTTACATGAATGATTTTTGTTATTGTATAACATCTAAAAATGAATGTACATCCCAATTTTTATATAATAAAATTTGTAAATAAAAAATTGAAATGCAAAAATAAAATTCGAATCAGCCCGGATGCAATCTGAACGGTTGAAAAGGCAGCAGTGCACAACATCCACATGATGCACGCCAAACTTTTTTCACAAATGTATATGATGTCTTCTTTAGATTTAGCTGTTGTTCCTCTCTTCAGATTTGCAAAGGTAGAATAACATGCATGTGGGAAAAAATGACTACATGCAGTAAAAAGCGCCACATGTAGGACAATATTGTATTAAAATAGGAATTCAGCATGGGCTTGAGTGATTTTTTTTTTTTTTGTAATTTAAGCTCTACTCATTTTTTTCAATAGATTAGGGAGTTACATTTAAGAGTGTTAATTGGGGGTTGTCAACTGTAGGAATAGATTCCACAATGTGGTATCTGAGTGTGGGTTTGAGTGATTAGCAACTGACTGAACAACACATCTTAAGTTCCTAACCATTAAACTGCCAAGAAAAAAAAAGTTGTACTAAAATTAGTGTTCAAAACAATGGATGGGGTCGACTAGTCGGTCCTAGCCTAATCCGATTAGTCCGACCAATTCCGACTAGATTGGCCGATTAGTGCCCCGATGTTTTTTGAAAAATACAATTTTGTTAAAAAAATCCCAAAAAAGTGTAAAAACTGTTTAAAATTTTTATGTATTGTTTCTTTATATTGTCACATAAAAAAATTTAAAAAATAAATATTATAAGCATAATTGGGTTTCGGAGAAAATGAATAGGCACATGAAGCAATACTTTTTCAGTGATTAATATATAATAAATATATATAAATATTATATATTAAATATAATGTATAACCAATATATAGTATATAATATAAATTACATTGATAAAATAAATACATAATATATAATATAATATGATATAATATTATTATAATTCAACTCAAGGCCATGTTTGTTTTTTGTGTATTTTTTAATTCAATTAAAAATGTAGGTAAAATATAAAATTGTTCGTCTATTTATGACAATTTTGATAGATTTCCATCTCACTATTTGTGTCTATGTGTATGCCTATGTGCCCCTCGAGGCATTGGTGGTGTAGGCATTAGATTGAAGATCAAATCAGATGAACAACGAATAAATTGTAAATCCGGATCTACAGGCTTGGCACCCTATCGGGTCTGACCAACACTTGTGCGATTGAGCCTACTCACCCAAAGCGGCAAACCCTATAATTAGCAAATAAAACATTGTGTAATAATATATAAAGTTTTCAGTAGAGAAATAGAAAAATGAAAATTGTTTCATGTGGGCTGGACAGCATTTCTACAATATGCGATATAGACGATATAGACGTATAAAGCATCCATCTTAAAAATAGATGCAAATAGGTAGTCCATCTAAAAACAAGTGTAACTAACTGTCCAAATATTTTTTTAATATAATTATGATTTCTATTTTTCAAGTTATTGTTTTTTTCATATTCATGATCTCCATATTAAAAATTATATAATTTACAAAAATAAGATCAAATTATATTTTAAAATGGTGCAATTTGTATACAGATGCATCCATAAGTGTAGAGGTAAAGTGCACCTTCAAATTTTATCATCGCATATAATTTTCATGTAAAATGTTCTTAAGATTATCTCTAAATCTATTTTTATATCTAATTATAAAATTTTAAATTTCAAAAATGATTAAAATGAAATAGATCCATAAACATATGAAAACCTGAAAAATGGACTGTTTAAATAATATATTGTAAAATACATTATTTCTGAAACTTATAAATCTTTTTATTTTTCATGTTCATACATCTCGATGTCGAGATGACCAATCAAAAAGGTTTTTCAACATTAAAACTACTTTTTCCGATAGATTTTTTAGGGACATCCGTAATTCTACATTATAAAGTAGCATCCTTATATAAACTTTTTCATTTTAAAAATATATTAATTGCCAAGCCCTTCTATAATATGCAGGCTAACCGTATAAAAACCATGTCCATGAAAAAAAAAAAAATATATATATATATATATATAAACAACTTTGCTGTGACATTACACTCATCTGCTCATTTTTAAAACAAATCACCGATTAGTGCACAAATTGACTAATTAATCTGATTAATATACTGAAAAAAAAAATCCTACATACATGACCGTTAGAATCGGGCCAAATCAAGAACGGCCAGTGATTGACCAATCCCGAGTATGAGCTCTAAACAAAAGCATTTGCATATGCAAAGAAAAAAATTTGTATGTAAAAAGTATTGTATTCTCTTTCTCCATGTTTATCGCCGCTGCAGAAACGGCGTCAGCAGTGCTTTTTAAACACGTTAACACGGAGAAAAAAAAAGTTTTTCAAAAAACTTTCCTATAAAGTATATGCATACGTAAATATTTATATTTACTTACCATATTTACATATGTAAATATTTCCACACCAACCAAACGTGCCCTTAGATAGAGAGAACCCTTTCCAACTCTCTTTTTCCCCTCCTATCCTTTTCCACTCTCTTTTTACCCTCTATCCTACCCAAAAACGTTCATGTAATGCTCTTTTCACCTTAGAGAGAGAGAGAGAGAAAACAAAGGCAGATCTTTTAGAGAGAGATCCCTTTCCGTTCTCTTTTTCCCCTCCATCAGCAGTACCCTTTCACCTTAGAGAGAAACAGATGACTCGACCCCACGGGAATTAGAAATCAGAATGTAATGTAACTCAAAAAAGGAACCAATCCCCGTTTTCCCAAACAGCAAGCAAATGCTCATTAGATACAACCACTTTCTACAAAAGAAAACCCCATGCCAATATGTACCACCTCCAAAAACCATAATCTCACTGTTCCATAAATCCTACTGAGAAATTAGCTCAGACAGCAACGGCGACACCCTTCTTTGACATACTATCCAGGATATCATTGAGAGCTTGACAGAGGCCCACTATCTGTAAATTTAAATACACGGCAATTAGAAACCCATTTCAATAATTTTTTAATAATGATTATTCAGTAAATGTTAATTGGTTTAATTAATTATGAGTTATATGTGTGAATCTGAAAAGAGCACCTGTTGATCCCACCGCTGAAGCTCTTCCGTGTCATCCTCAAAGTGTATGACTGCTTCGACCTGCAAAAAAAATAAAATGGAATTTATTTTTTGGTTCTCAATTTATACTGTTCTTATTGAGGCAATCATCTGCAGTTTATCACATTAGGCATTATTGTGGAGTGGGAAGGACATCTAATGCCGAACTAACAGCGAGAAATATTAGTCATAAGAATCGCATTTGTCATTAAAAAGCAGGCTCTTGAACTTATGTTTTTACAATAGAAGAGGCCATAATACTATTGATTTGGAAGTTTATGATTCAACAACCAGTGAAACATCTAAATAAGTGGCGAGTCCAATTCTATAATCTTTCTTACGCCAAAATCACATCCCACAGGTTTAGAAAGTATTGTCCTTTTGTCAAATGACAAAAAAAGGGTACTTCATCAGGTTAGAAATTAGAATCCCCTCAGAAGATGAAGGGGACGTAGCTGTTATCAATTCTAAGTGACTCATGTACCTCAAAAGGGGAAAAAAAAAGGCTAGCTTCTTATAAGACCAGATGGAAGAACAGTCAAATTTTCATTTATAATTTCAATGCGATTTTTTATAAGTTACTTTCAAAGTCAATCCATTTTCTCCATCATAGAAGCTAGAAAAAGCATTATTTTGCCTGAAAATAAAACTCAGGCCTAGTCTGAAATAAACATGGATGTAAACAAATCAAAAAATTCCATATTTCCCCAACTTGAAAAACAAACTCATAGAAGTAATACATCATAACAGTCATACCTGATCAATGGATCCCCTCATTCTATCTTCATAGATCATCCGTGAAGCTATCTTCTCAGCCTTTTGTGGGGGAATACCAAGCAGGGTGCCTAATTCCTCAAAACTGCAAGAATGCATATAAAGAACATAAAGATTGTTGAAAATATATCACTACCAAAGCAGACCCCTTGTAGTTCTAAGATATTCAAGTCATGATACAAACCTAATATTTGTATATAGTTTGCTTGCACTTAGAAGATTGTGCTCAATCATTGCACGATCCAGAACAGTAAAATTGTCAGGTAAAAGAGCTTTCTGTTGAAACAAAAAATTGAAATAAATATTCAAAAAACACAACTGATATGATCTTTCCAATGAAATAAAAACACAAAAAGAAACAGATGATTTAAAACAAAAAGAGGACTGTATCATGTCTAACCTGGTGTGGTTTGAGTTCTTCAGCAAATGCATCGATTTCTGGCTTTCTCAAAATTCTCTCAAGGTAGACCTATCAAATACCATTAAAGTCAATAGGTAACAAATACAAATACAATCAAATTAAAATAACCACCACTAAAGATCATCACTCTACCTTCTGTAATATTGGATAAATCTTCAACTTTGAACACCGCTCATCCTGAACATCGAACTCAAAGATATGGCAGAGAAATAAGAAAAAATGTTTCTTACATGCCATATTGCGCTCACAAAGATAGCTAAGCCAGAAAGTAAAATAGTTTTACTATGAAGCAAGAAAGACAGCCCAAAGTAGAAAGCTAGGTTTTGAGCATTTAGACCAAAGGTCAAAGGGCAACATTTGCATGGTTATATCCAACTCTAAAGGAACAAACGTACCTTGTATAGAGTTGCCAGAACACGAGATCGTTGTGGACCAGCACCAGCCAGGATTGTACATGTCACGGCCGCACTCAGAGCTTGCTCAAGGGCTTCCTCATCAATAACCCTGAAGAATGATAATCAAATGAGTTGAATACACGAAGCATACATTTAATGGACCTGCACATATGGTTTCATGGAAAAAGAGGTAAACAGAGCAATTCAGAACCAACCAACAGTTTATGTATGGGTAAGTTAATCGCATAAATTATTTTGGAAAATAAAAGGCTTGTTTGGATGCACCAGATATCACTAAGATTTAACCATTCACTAATCTAGAATAGCCAAAAACTGTTTGGTGATGCACATATGACAATGTCAGGCACAGAGACACAAGCCCTTTACCATATAACTCTACACAAGTAAGATATTGATTTTATCTTTAAAATAAATAAGACAGCTTTAATTTATGGGCACTTTCAACAGAGGAATCTCTCTCTTTCTTAATCTTCTCTATCAATCTCTAGCCTCAGACCCTCTCCTATTTCCTCACCTTAACATCCCAATCCCAGGCAAAAAAAAAATCCACTTCTCTTTTCTGGCAAATCTGACGGCCCCAAAGCTTTCTCACTCATCACAACTCTCTCCAAAACACCCTTCATCCATTTTGCCTACTCTCACTCTGCAACTCTCCCTCAAGCTTTCCAGAAACAGCTCCACAATAACATAGAATCTAGCCAAACCTGCACAAATTCAAAGCAGGTATCTCTCTAAAGAAAACCAAAATCATTCATAGGTTTGGCCACCGTAGGCCATTGAAATCAACCATGGAGCTTATCAATAACCCTGGTTTAGACTCAAGCTTGCAGAGAGAAGCTCGTATGCCTCGAAAATATGAAGGTAAAGCTGGTTGAGGAGTCCATGGTAACTTGAAGAAAGAAGCAGGAAGAATTGGTACCATTCTCAATATGCTCCATCAACTCTCAACTTCTGGAATAGGTAAAGATCCATACCTATTTTTCTCAACTAGAACCCACATAACCCTCGTCAAAAACCCCAATTTCTTTATCATCCACAACCCCACATTCCCCCTCATCAAAAAAACCACCCTCTCCTTCAGAACCACACACTCTCCCTTATCAGAAACCCCACTTCTTCTGATCTAAAACCCCACTTTCTCTTCCCACATTGTCGCGCATCAAATCCCCAAATCCCCAGTTTCTTCAAATAACACTCCCCCCCGCCTCTTCTCTTCTTTTCTCTCAAACCTTCTTATTCCTCAGAAGGGCATCAACATTCTGCATCTCCCGATATTCATCAGACATGGGGGACTGAAAAGACAATCCCTCATCGTCTTCCCCGTAATCTTCATTACTGTTCCATCTTCATCATCTCCACTGGAGCTTTAAGTACCAACATCTCTTCATCAGCATCTCCACTGGAGCTTTAAGCATCAAACATCTTTCATCAGCATCTCCACTGGAGCTTTAAGTACCAAACGTCTCACAATCCTTTGCATCCATGTCCTCAATTGTAACCACTTTGGTGTTGAACTCGAATCTCATTGGGTGTGAATAAATTTTAGTTGGCTCTTATATGTGTCTAAAATTAAGCATTAATCATGGACCGGACAGAATGGAATTATGGTCAACTGCGGTTTTTCTCTCTCTGAAATTTGAAGAGAAACCACGACCTGAATTTGTTGGTGGTGTTGAACAAATGTTTGGTTCCTAAGCAAACATTCTCCCTAAAACAATGCTCTAGAATCAGTTAAAAAGGAAGAAAGAAACTGCACAAGAGAAAGAATTGGTACCAATTTGGTATCAAGGTGACCTAATCAAACAATATAAAATGTCATATGCAGATATAATTGGGTATGTGAATACCTACCAAACAACTAACTAAGTATAATTATGCAGAATGTACTAATATTAGATTAAACAATATATTGGTGATAGAATTAATTCTCATCAAAATAGGCCCTAAAGGATGAACGACCTCGTTCCAAAACAAAAACATGTTTTAACGATTATGGCAGCACCCACCCTTGTATCCTCAGAATCCCATAATCCCAACTGGCCCAGCCTCATATGCCCTTCCCCAATTTTAGAGGAACACATCACATTCAGTAAGATCCCTCCAAAATCCTTGTGCCTAACCAACACCAGAGAAAGAAAAACATTAAAGCTCTCAAATGCCTTAAGCTTCTTAGTGATACATTTGGGAATCATCCGCCCTTACATATATTAGAGACCGACTTCCCACTGAACTGGTCCCTTCAAGAAACGTAACCAACACCAGGAAAGAAAGAACTTTCCTAACCAACCTGCGAACAGGTCACAATGAACCCATAAAATGTTCTCTGTCTAGAGTCTCTGGAGTCTAGACTACAACTAACTCCCTTACAGCCCCACAAATTTCTTCCAAACAAGACCACATACAACCATTCCCAAGCTTCAGTCATAAATCTCTGTACTATTACCATTAATGAACTTACAACAAATGGATCAATCCGTCAGGCCAAGAAAAGCATCAATATTTCCAGCATGTACGACCAACAAATAGATTTTTCATGCTCAAGCCGTAAGACAAATCAGAAAGCACAACACACAAGATGTAACTTCATTGATCACTCACTGAGTTCAAGTGCAATACATCTCAAATAACTTCATTCAGGAATCTCGTGCACATGTAATATGAAAAAACTTAAAATAAAGTTCAGAAATTTCCAAGCATAGAAAAAGACATACTCATCACCAATTTCATGCTTCTCAATTTGGGAAATGTCATAGTAACGAAGTGCAGCTTCCAGAAACTTCCGCTTTAAATCCAAGATCCTAGCATAGCACACCTATCAATAAAAAAAAGGCAAGCGTAACTAAGAATGCAACATGCAGTCTCCACAATGTTTGCAAATTAAAAAAGAACTATAGTATTAAAAAGACAGAAGCCGCACCTTGTATTGTAAATTCAATACTTCTTGCTCACTATTGCTCACTAAGAAAGAAGCTTTGTTAATGAAAGATTCTGCGTTTACAGCATCATCATCCTGCCACGGCATAAAACAGAACAGTTGACATGTGCATGAATATATAGTGCATTACCCACGGACACATAACTGGGGATGAAAAGCTACTGCAACACGGTACCTCGAGATAAAGACGAGCAATTTGGACGCATTTTGACAGCTTGTATGTATCGTCAAGCATCCTAAAGGAGAAATGATGTATCAGGTGAACTTACATATTTGTATATAACTATAGAGAGATAGGAATTAATTATCCTTAGACATATGGCTAATACACTTAGCTCAATCATCAAAGTGCCACAACTGATATAATTGAGTACTGAACCTGATTCCAGAGTCCAAGTCAATGCCACTGAGCATTTGAGCTGCTTTTGACCACTGCTCTTCAGATTCATACAACTCAGCAAGCTTTTCTCTGATGATCAACACCTGAAAACCTTGCCAGTAAGATGGGAAAAAGGACCACATTAAAAACATTATTCTAGAAAGAACATCAGAAGCGAATAACTCAGATGAGATCTCCTTGGCACCAAAAGGCAGTGCCAAACAACAATGAAGTCGCAATATTCCTGTGTTGATCATTAAATTTAGTTACAATTCAACAATTGTCAAAATATCTGATGCTATAGGTTAGAGTAAAAACAGCACTGGAGATCTCCACTGACAAAATGGGAAATCAGATGAAATCAAACATTCAAAATGGCATTCTTTTTCTTTGATAAATGTTGACAAATTAGTATTAACTGGTAGATTTACGTGCATTACACGAAAAAGAGTAATGCGTAACCACAAAAAAAAAAAAGGATTAATCTTGATATCAAAGAGAAAAATAATAAAATCATACAAGAAATAAATTACAAAGAAATATAAATAGTTGTATAATACATAGATAATAGGGAATATAGCACAGAGCACATGATTAATCTTACCTTACAATTTTTTCTTTTTGAAAGTGTTAACGATCTTACCTTACAATGTTATTACGATAAGCATGACAATAATATAATATTATTCATTAACATGATACCTTGTAATATTATTATGATAAACATGACCATAATATTAGCCATTATTCTATCACTATTAACGAACAATGAAATGAATAACGTCATAATATTATATAATTTGAATATGTTGCCGATCGTATAATAATATTTAACATCAATGACAATATTAAAGTTACTCATTTAAGAACGAACATAAATTATGGCACGAGCACATTGACAATAAACATTAAAAATAATAAGATCAAACCTGTTCTTCAAACGAGACAACCCGAGGTTGAATCTGAGTAAGGGCATAGTGAGCTATCTCCTTCTGAGTCTCTGGCTCTAACCTCCCTAAGTCTTGGGCAAAAGCTTGTAGCAGCTGCCTTGAGACCACCAATGGAACATCATCCGAAACCACTGGTGACAAAAAATAAGAACATTAAAAACTTACATGACTGAGCTTTAGGCAATTGAACAAACCCAAGTAAGACATGAATCCCTAAAATAAAAACATTATTTGGGAGAGCTCAAAATAGTAGGATAAAAATTGTCAATAGAAACTTGTGCTGCAGGACACCTTATAAGAGGTAGACTAAACAGACTAAATCCTAAATAGAAACTTGTCATGAATAATCATGGAATTCTATAAGTAAATTTTTCTTTTAACTATTTTTTTATTTAGAGATGGCGAATAAATTATAAAAAATCATGGAATTCTATAAGTAAATTTTTCTTTTAACTATAAGTAAATTTTTCTTTTAACTATTTTTTTATTTAGAGAAGGAGAATAAATTATAGAGAAAAATTGCCCAATCATCAGATATTTAAAACACTGGGCAATAAAAAATGTATACTATATGATACACGGATATTAGATATTCAAATGCTATTTGGTTTCAAAAACTAACAAAATAATACGTTGATTGCAGAAACTAACAAAAAAACGACGGAATATAATTAGACATTAATGAGCAATTAATAACCAGCATAAAATGAATAACACATCAAGTCAACGATTTTCTCCAAAAAATACAATAATACATTAATAATATGAGTACAAATCCACTAGAAACCTACCAACCAGTGAAAAATACAATTACATCAGTAATTTCAGAGATCATGTTCGCACAGTAAAACCCAGTTTATTTTATATTCAGTAAACTTTAAATAAAAAAAAAAAAAACACCTTTTACATTGAATGGAGTTCAATACAGTGTAAATTTTAATTATGAAGTGTTAAAAAGTCGACTAACATTTAGTTCATGGACAAATACTGTGATCAACAAAGTTGACTAACATTTAGTTCATGGACAAGTACAGTGATCAACAAGCAAACTAATTTTAAAACCCTAGACACACTTTGTTCCCAAATCACTGAATGAAATCAGCGCACAACAACCCGTAGCATAAATAGGGAAAGTGAATTAAACAAATAATAATAAGCATACACTAAAAAAAATAGCAAAATTCAAAGAAACACTGAATATCTGATACTTGAGAAAGCAGTTAGAGATGGGAATTACTGTGATCAATGAACCCCTTGGCTTGAGAGACATTGTTCGATGAGAGGACCGATGATAATATGAGCTTGTATTGCTCGATCTTCTGTCTCTGATCCGATATACAAGCAGCATTGGCTAGGGCACTCTCCATTTTCGATAGATTCAAGCTCTGGAAAACCCTAGCTCTTAGTTTTTAGGATTCTGATTCCTTGTTCTGAGGAACCCTGACCTCTTCAGATATTAGGGTTTTGAATCCTTCGCACCAAAATATTGCAGAAATTCTCCAACCCGGTTTAAAAAAAGGTTGCGGTTTCCATAAGGTTGCAACCTTAAACAATCCAATTAAGGCGCACCACCCAATTTTATTATATCATGTAATTTTGGTGTAAAAAATTTTTAAAAATTTGTTAAGGTTATCTAAAAATATATTTTCATATCTAATTATAAAATTTTAAACTTCAAAAATAATTAAAATAATCGATAAAAATGTGAACATATTGAAAATGGAAGATCTAAATAATATGTTACAAGATGCACTATGATGCACTATTTTTTTTACCCAAAATCTTTTTTTTTACACATTCATACATCTCGATATCGAGAACATCGATTAATCGATTAAAGGGTCTTTCGATATTAAAACAACATTTTTCAATGGATTTTTAAGGTGCATCTATACTTCTACATTTTAAAGTTGCAACCTTATATAAACTTCTCCCTTAAAAAAAAATTACGGTTTCAAATTTATATCGAGTCGAGGCTCTAAACAATCGAATTGGAGCCCACCTAAAAAATTTCACTATAAGATGTTGCTTTGATGCCTAAATATCATCAATTTGATTTTGTTGACATCAAGACGCATGGACATGAGAAAAAAATAGATTTCAAGTTTTGAAAATAGTGTATTTTGTATCATATTTTTGGACCATCAATTTTCAACATTTTAAAGTTACCATAGATCTATCGATCTACACTATTTTTTTAAGCTTTAAACTTTATAAATAAAGATGAAAATATATTTTAAGGCTATTACAAAGATTTATGGTATTGAAACTACATTTCTTGATAGTATTTGAAGGTAGGCTCTAATTTGATTGTTTAAGGCCTAGGCTTTATACAAACCGTACCATTTTACTTTCTCTTTGGATGACTTTATTTATGGGAAAAAGTTTATATAGAGTCAATGCTCTATATAATCAAATTAGAGCCCACCTCAAAAATTTCACTGAGGTTGTTTTGATGCCCAAATATCTTCAAATTGATCATCTTGATGCATGGATATGAGAAAATAAATAAATAGTTTCAAGTTTTTTAAATAGTGCATCTTGTAACACATTTTTTGAACATCAAATTTCAAGTTTACATATATCTACTTTATCTACTCTATTTTTTAAACTTTAAAATTTATAATTAAAGATGAACGTAAATTTTAAGGCTGTCACAAAGATTTCTACTATTGAAACCACATTTCTCGACATTATTTGAAGGTGTGTTTTATTTTGATTGTTTAGATCCTTAGGCTCTATACAAACCACACCCTTATTTATGGGACCTAATTTTGGTGGATGGTGTAGATCTCCAAGTCCACATAGTAATAGGTGTAGGCTTGGACGCAACAAACAATGTACCTTAAAAAAAATAGGATTTATAAACATTCATGAGAAAATGATAGGTTTAAAAAAGTAAGAAGGCATTTTATCTTTTGGAAGTGCATGTCACAGTCATTTCCATGCATGAGATGTCAAATCGGATGGCTTAGATGAGTCACGAAGTTCCTAATGTTTTTGGGAACTTTGGATCTATTCAACAAAATTCTTGCTACCACTCATTTTGAAATTTAAGGGACAAAAATGATTGTGACCTCCATACACAAAAAGATAAATAGTCTCTTTATAGACAAGGGTGTGGTTTGCATAAGGTTGCAACCTTAAACAATCCAATTAAGGTGCACCTCTAAATTTTATAATAAATATAATTTTTATATAAAAAATTCTTAGGATGGCTTGCAAATCTATTTTTATCTCTAATTACAAATTTTGAAACTCCATAAATAGTTAAAATCAAGTAGATCTATAAATATTTGAAAATCTTGAAAATTGACGGTCCAGATAACATGCTGCAAGATACACTATTATGTGGACTCAAAATCTTTTTTTCTTTTCGTATTCATACATCTTGGAGTCAAGATGATCAATTAGAGGGGTTTTCCAACATCTAAACAACGTTTTATGATATTTTTGAGGTGCACCTTTAATTCTACATTTTAAGGTTGCAACCTTTTATAAAGTTTTTCCTCTTAAAAAAAAGTATATTCCAAGAGTCCCTTTAATTAAATTGTTTATTACAATCGTATCCCCGAGTTCAATAATACATGTGAGCTCTTGATAGTGTATGGCCGGACTATGTAATTAATGAAAGTAAAGTCAATTGTAGTTTTGATGTTAGAAATTCTCCAAATTCAGTGTCTTATCCTTGAACGATAGAGAATAAATACAGATTTCAAGCCCCAAAAAACAGTATGTATTTTGATTCATTATATAGGTTGTTCATTATAAGCGGCCGTAAATTTGTCAGATCCATACCATATTTTGAGCTTCAAATTCCTTATTTGGGGTCTAATATTTAGGGGTTTCTCGAAGCCAAAACTAATTTTCTCACGCAAATTTTAAGTGATAAATATTAACGTTTAAGGGTTAAGGATACTGTGTGGCACTGAATCATGCCGTGATGCTAACATATTGAGCTAATTATTCCTAAACAAACTCTTAATGAGCTCGTCAAACAAACTCTTAATGAGCTCGTCCCAAACAAAGCATTAACTTTACATTTGTACTCTTGAACTGAATACGCGAAAATGTGTAAATGGTAAATGTCTTTGAGTTGCATACCATATGATTGTTTTTGTATAAGAATGACATAGTATCCTCAAGCTGTCAAATGTAAAATTGGGTAACTAGAGGTATGCCACCTGATTTTATATGTAATATTTAGGATTGATCGTGACATTCTTGTTCAAAAGTAAACAGTCATATGGTATATAATTCCATTTATTTTCTCTTTTTTTGGGTAGTTTAATGGTAAGAAACGAACTTGAGATGTAACAAAACTATACAATTCATTTCATTTAGCCCATATCTTTATTATGCATAGCCAAAGTGGATTTGAACCTTTATTGGTATGACAAAGCTTCTCACAATGCCGACGACTGATGGACGACAAAGGAAACTTAACATTAATGTGTCAACAAGGCATTTGATATTATTTGAAACTTTTAAATGCAATGTTAACTTTTAAACTTAACATTAATGGAATAGTTTAAATGTGTAAAATGTTAAATAATTAATAAACTAAACGTCTTTTGGTATAAATTTCTTATTTTATTTTACAAATTAACAACAAAAAATATGATGACAATAACTTTTTTATCTCATGATAGTATTAAAATTTGTCAATAAAATATCATTTAACACAATATCTGCTATCATTTCGTTTGTAGTGAATACGGGAAAAACATAGAAAGTAAAAAAAAGCCAATGGTGTGCCACAAAGTAAGTGTCTATTCAAATAATAAAATGGGCCCATTCATAGTTTTTGAAAATAATGTAAAATGCTAGTGTCCGGTGGGGTATCCAATTGCTGCAGTTTACATCAAGTGGCAACTTTACATGCATGAAATAAAGTTGCGGTGTTTTACACCATCTAGTTTAGTTTTAGGATGTCAATTTGACGTATTGTTTAAAAGTTGAATGCATATCAAGTCTATTTTTTATTTTTGACAAGCACACGTAATTTTATTGATCAAATTAAGGAACTACAAAGTTACAAAATAAAAGAAGAAATGAAAATACACTCAGCCTATACTTGTTCTTTAGTTACAAAATCAGCTATCTCATTCACCTCCCCATAGACATGGTTGAAGGCAACCAGTTGGTTCTGACATAAATCCTGCACTTGCAACCAAAATTTCCTTAAATTCCATAGTGCCTTACGTAGCCCAGAGCACCAGTTGATGACATTAAGAGAGTGGTTCCACCAACCATCCAAAGTTTGGAATCCGTTCTTTCAACAACTTAATACCTTGCAATACTGGCATCATCTCAACTTGATTAGTTGTAACTGTCCTACACGGACCACAATAGAATAAAATCTCCAAGCCCATTGGGTCTCTCACAACCCCACCACATCTTGCAAGTTATGGGTTTCCATAAGAACTACCATCAAAGTTTAGGCTTCACACAACCATCAATAAGAGGAGACTAAACTCCATGCAAAATAAGTCGATGTACATGGTGATGTATCAAGTTACGAAGGTATAGGAGTATGTCAATACTAGAACACCAAAGCCTTATTTAGTATTGGATAACCAAAGGCACACATTTTGAACCACCTTCTCTTAGACTCGAACTACCTCTATACACCTTCCATCAAAAAGACGTTTATTAGTCTCAAACCCTCGATCAGTGGTTTAAAAAACGGATCGATGCCTCGGATTGGGCACTCAAAAAATCCATCCGGATTGGTGAATCGGCGATCCGGATTAGGAATCGTCCGGCTCGGTATGATTAAGCTTTAAAAAAATAAAAAAAACTATATAAATTCATTATAAATGTTATATTTAGGAATCCAATAAGAAACGAGGGTACTACATTGTTAACTTTCATTTTGTTCATCAATTTGTAAATATTGTGACGTTCTTTCCCTGTATGAACTTATGTTAACCATTAAATTTACATCACACAAAAACGAAATCATAGAATTATCACGGATAAAGTATATCAATCATACATAGACTACAACAAATAGTAGACTAAATCGATGAAAAAATGGCCACTAAAATCTCGAATTGGCAGAAAACCCTACTCCGCTAAAAAAACCCAAATTATTACAAACTAGCTATAATCCAAAATTATTACAACCTAACTAACTATAATATTATATACTGAAATTAAAATTGTTGGTTGATATTTTATAATTATTTTATTATACAAACAATAACAAATCCAAAATATTTTATAATATCATCTAATTTTAAATGTATTATTGACATCTGTAAGAAAAATAGTACATTACATGATTTATAATGCAAAAATTAATAAATAAAATAAAAATTTGGTTATCAATATATAAATTATTTGAATGCATATCAACTTTCCAAATAACACCTTAATTTTTCAAAATTTTAAATTTTTTCATTCTAGAATAAATTTAGTAAAAAATATTGCTAATAGATTTTTTTTTTTTAGCAACATTATTTTCTGCCTTTTTTTTTTTTTTACAACAAAAATACTACATTACATGATT